GCGGAGGAGCTTGAGCCCATCTTGATGCCACGGGACATCGTCGTCGCACCACCGGGAAGGGGTGGGAGGCAAAGTGGAGAGGAGGAGTCGGCGGCAGTCGCAACTCTGATGAAGAGGCGTGGAGGGAGGAGCGGAGGCGTCCGTCGATGACCCGGGCATCCCTACTCGAGTTTGGGATGGAGGAGCTAGAGCAACGTCGTTGGTGTCCTAGGGAGGTGGTGGTGGAGATGCTGCCTAGGCTCGGGCGAGGGAGGCCAGCGGTAGAGAAGGAGTCGGAGGAGGGTGCGGCGCACCGGCGGGGTCAAATATTGTGTAGGGCGGCCGACGACGGTGGCCCGGTGGAGGTGGAAGCAAAATGGAGAGAAGGCGTTGGCGATGGGAGATTCGGTGGGGGACGGGTGAAGTGTCTCTTAGATCCGCCCGCCGTGCCCTCGCCACTCCCACAGTAGCTTCCCAGCCACCGCCTGCCTCTCCGCCATGCCCCCGCCATGCCCAAGGAGTAGAGGGGAGGCAATGGCGGCGGTGAGGCTCCTCGTCGGATTTTGCATCACCTCATGGGGAAGAGAGGAAGAGGGGCGGACGCTGCCGTTAGCCATCAACCGGAGCCACCTAGCCACGCCCGTCTCTCCTGCCGCCGGTCGGAGCCACCCAGCCGTGCCCGCCGCCGCTCACCACCTAGCTCCGGCCTCTGCCCCCGCGTCTCACGCTGTCTCCCTTTGCCCGCCCCCGCGCGCCCGCGAGAGAGCGAGGGGGGGGGGAAGAGGGGCACGACACCTTGCGCCCGAGAGAGAGGAAGAGGAGGTACGATAGGTGGGTCCCACCGTTATTTTAAAAGAAAATCCTGACCGGATTACCACGCGTACGCTAAATAGGATAAAACCGCTCTGGATTGGGTCAAGAGGGTAATTCGTCCAGTATTGAAAGTTCAGTGTGAGTAATATCTGCTTTTCGGGTTGAGGAGGGTAATTCGGTCAACCGCGATAGTTAAGAGTGGTAATTCATACTTTTTCCAAACAAAAATGTTTTAACCAAGTCAATGAGTTGAGGGGCAGATACTACTACAGAACTAGTCATCTCTACAACGAATCATCTGTATAAAGTACATGCAACTTTTCTCATTTGTACATTAACGACAAGAAACTTAGGTGCCATGGAAGTCAAAATAGAGAGAAAAGACTAGGGGTCTTTCGGCTAGCTATACAAGGTGGTGGGCTAGTCGACCTGGGTTTGAAAACTCACCCCTTCTATCTATTAACTTATTAGTATAGTAATAGAAAAAGGAGTCACCACGTTCGCTCTCATTGGTCTAGAAATTCTCATATTAATCGGAGAAAAAAAGAAAAGATAGAGTTCATATAGAAGTACAATTTAAAAATTACTGAAATTCAGAATTTTAAAATAAGGAATATTATAAAAAGAGACTACAGTCCATAAGGTATACAATTTAGAGCTAATTAAAATTTATAATTAAAAAATAAGAAAATTTAAAGTACAGGTGAGAGTCCACATATAAATACAATTTAGAAATAACTACAATTCCAAATTAAAAAAAAGGAATGTTGAAAGAGGAGTCTATAGTCCATATAGAATATAATTTAGAAAAAAACTGAAAATTAGAATAAAAAATAAGGAATATTGAAAAATGAATTTAGAGTCCATATAAAAATATAATTTAAAAATAACTAAAATTCGAAATTGAAAAAAAAGGAAGATTGGGGGAAGAGTTTAGAGTCCATATAGGAATACATTTGATAAATAACAGTAATTCATTTTTTTAAAAAAAGAAATATTAGGAAAAAAAAAGTCTAGAGTCCATATAGCAATACAATTTGTACATAACTAAAATTCTGAATAAAAAAAAGGAATATTGAGAAAATATATAGAGTTCATATAGTAATACAATTTACAAATTATGAAAATTAGAATTTTTTTAAAAAATAAGGAATATTAAAAGAAGATTTAGAGTTCATATATAAATACAATTCACAAATAACAAAATTCGGAATTAAGAAAAAGGATTATTGGAAGAGGAGTCTAGAGTCCACATAGGAATAAAAATTATAAATAATGGAAAATAGAAATTAAAAAAATAAGGAATATTGAAAGAGAAGTCTAGAGTCCATATAGAATTTCAATTTAAAAGTAACTAAAATTTAAAATTAAAAAATACATAATAAATATTTTATATATATATATATATATATATATATAGTTCAATATGAATGTCACGCATGGGTTAGTTTGATCGAGTTACTACATAACTAGCATGGTGGCCCGCGCAGATTGCGCGGCTAGCATTGTTATATTTTCTCTCATATAATAGCATATATGTTTTCTCATTATATTATTCAAATATATTAAAACTTTATATTTAAACATAATTTTAAATTTTGCAATAACTTTACAAAACTACTAATGTGTCATATTCATATTGTATTTTATATACGTGTTAGTTATTAATTATTTTTAATATCAAATTTTATTTATCTGTAAATTATATATATTCCTATATGGACTCTAGACTCGTCTTTTAATATTTCTTTTTTTTAATTCCTAATTTTCTGTAAATTATATTTCTATATAGACTCTATGCTCTTCTTCCAATATTATTTATGTTTATTTCTGAATTTTTATTATTTCTAATTGTATTTCTATGTAGACTCTAAACTAATCTTTCAATATTCTTTAATTTTAATTTTAAATTTCAGTAACTTCTAAATTGTATTCATGTATTATGTATTGACTTTAGATTCTTCTTCCCATGTTTTTTTAAATTTTGAATTTTAGTTATTTGTAAATTGTATTTTTATACAAACTCTAAACTCTACTTTTAATTTTATTATATTTATTACTAATTTTAGTTAGTTTTAAATTCCTATATAGACTCTATACTCTACTTCTAATATTCCTTATTTTTAATTTCGAATTTCTATTATTTCTTAATTGTATTTCTACATGGACTCTATACCCTACTTCTAATATTTCTTATTTTTAATTCCGAATTTCTATTATTTCTTAATTGTATTACTACATGGACACTATACCCTACTTCTAATATTCCTTATTTTTAATTCCGAATTTCTATTATTTATTAATTGTATTTCTATATGGACTCTATACTCTACTTCTAATATTCCTTATTTTTAATTCCGAATTTCTATTGTTTCTCAATTGTATTTCTGTATGGACTCTAGTCTCCTATTCTAATATTCCTTATTTTTTTAATTCCGAATTTCAACTATTTCTAAATTGTATTTCTACATGTACTCTGTTTTTCTTTTTCTCCGATTAATGTGCGAATTTCTAGGCCGTGAGAGCGAACGTGGAGGTTCCTTTTTCTATTCCTTTAATAAGTTAATAGATTCCTTTTTCTAGTTAAAAATAATAAATCATTACGTCAGGACATATATAATTCTTCTTGGCGAGTCTGGCATGATCTATTGTGCAACTTTGGTGAACATATATAATATAGTAGCCCGAAATAAAATTTACTTATACTCTATATGTACTATGTGTACTCTATACTCTACTTCTAATATTCCTTATTTTTAATTCCGAATTTCAGTTATTTCCTAATTGTATTTCTATATGGACTCTAGTCTCCTCTTCTAATATTCCTTATTTTTAAATTCCGAATTTCAACTATTTCTAAATTGTATTTCTATATGGACTCTAGTCCTCTCTTCTAATATTTCTTGTTTTTTAATTCCGAATTTCAGCTATTTCTAAATTGTATTCCTATATGGACTCTGTTTTTTTCTTTTTCTCCGATCAATGTGGGAATTTCTAGGCCATGAGAGCGAATATGGAGGCTCCTTTTTCTATTCCTTTAATAATATAATAGATTTAAAATTTTGTTGCCATTTTAATATATTTAAGTATAAATGTGAAAAATATTTAAGCTATTATTTGAGAAAAAATATAGTGATATTAGCTGCGCTATCTGTGCGGGTCACCATGCTAGTTTATTTGATATTAGGTCCTTCCCTAATATTTATTTTTTTAAGTCAAAATAGTCATCAAGCGAAGAGACAAACTCTTATCCAGTTTATAGAGTTATTGGCGGATAAATAACAAACGATGTGATTTTGGAGAAGAGAGACAAAATTTTAACCAAGTCAAAAAGTCAAGGAAAAGGATATAACTTTCTCCCTGTACATCAAGTAGCAGGAGTCATGGATGACAAGAGGTATAGTGGAAGAACATATAAATCACGAACATGAAAATAACAATCACTTGCCTGCTCTTAATTCTTTTCTTGTAGTGCTTCTGTCCCACATGTATTATTGAAGGTACAGTATTTGACTATTTGTAATTTACTTCAGTGGACACTGTTGTTCTTTTCTTTTTTTCATATAGTGGGAGGAAGCTTCTTAACCTTTTCTCTTTTTTTTTTCTGTTTTGGAATGTTACTGTGTCAAGTGGAAAGAATTTTGACCACTCTGCAGGTGCTTTCACGTTGCCTAGGCAAAGCAACTTTGCTGCTGGTCTCCTTCATCCACCTTTTTCTAACAACCAAATCTCTCAGCTTCCTACGAATTAACGACATGTGTGCATGATTGTGTGTGTGTTGCAAGCATCGATGAAAACAAGAGCAGCAAACCAGCAGGGTTACTTGCAGTAGTTGAATTCCCATCTCAGAGTCGTCATTTTAAATTATTTCACTCCTTTAAGTTATAGTCAACAAGACTTAATTAATTAATTAAACTGTCAGTAACATATGTTTAAACCCATGCTTTTAATTGATGATGGTGCTATCATCACCAAATGATCGATCAAAGCACCCACTATGATTGATCTTCAGGTAACAATAAGCAGACAAAAAGTAATTAGTAATATCTCTATTTACAAAAGCTGTTCATATGCATCCATAAAAATAAATAGTGAGAGGCTAGGGACATAGTGCTATATTGGTAAGTGTTATAAAACCAAAAGGTAAATCTTCAATGGAGCCCACAAATTCTCAACTAATACCGCACAAAAATTTCACCCCAAATCAATGACAAGCAAAGCTCAGCTCCTTCATTAACTCAGATTGATTTTTAATACAAAGCCAAAGAGACTGACACGAACACATAACATATTTTTGCCGCTATCGATCGCCAGCTGATTATACCAGCGAGAGAAAGCGTACGTACATACGCACGTAGGCGCAGGGAAGAGAGGAAAAAAAAAAGACAAATACGCACGTACGTATAGTACACGGTACATGTATACACGTATAGCTAGCTCAAGCTCTCTCTTCTTCTTCAAGCAGAGCGGGCCCACGTACACACAGCACCACCACACGTACACAGACACCGTACACATTACATTTCGACTTGGTAGAGTCGTCGATCGTACAAACAATGGCTTCCCGCGCTCGTGCACGTGCGTACGTACGTACGCGTGCAGTACATACATACATATGTATATACGTATACAGTATAGCAGTACGGTGTGGGTCCATGGCGTCAGGGCGATTAGACGTTGTCGAACTCGTCGGCGGCCATGGACTGGCTCTGCAAGCGGCGGAGCTTGAAGGAGGAGAGCTTCTGGGGGGCGGCGCCGCCGGCGGCGGCGGGGGCCTCCTCGAAGCGGATGTAGGTGTAGACCCATGCGCCGGAGAGGGTGCCGACGACGGGGCCGAGGAAGTAGATCCAGAGGCCGGTGTAGACGTTGCTGGCCACCGCCGGCGCCAGCGTCCTCGCCGGGTTCATCGATCCTCCTGACACCGGCCTGCAATTTCCACTCGCGTCGTATTTCGCCGCGTCTTAATCAGCTATACATCCCCATTAATCAACACATACTGATCTTTTTCACTACTCGTCTCTACTTTATACTATGGTTAATTACCCCTTTTCTTATTTTATATATTTTTTAGAAGTTTTTTTAGTTTCAGTCAGTACATGCAAGTTGTGTCCTTGTAGTGATACGGTCAGGAATAATGTGTGTGAGTGTTAGGAGGTCCAAAGAATGGTTTGTACAGGCTAATCAGGAGTCCATGTTAGCAACGTCGTTTTGTGAAGTACATAATTAAACAGTAGCTTAATGGCTGATCGATGTGAGAGACATAGCTAGCTTGGTGCATGTGCCTTGAACCTAACTATCTAAGTACTGTGTATACTAATATAAGTCATCTGAGTCCGGCTCTGCTCTACGTCAGTCTGTGTGTGACACCTTGTTATAAATATGGCGCTTTAAATTCTCTGTAGAAAAAAAAATAATTATGTGGGCTGAACAACGAAGATTCTACCAAAGAATGTCGTCAGCTAAGCTAGATTTTCCAGAGGTTTGTTGAAAAGCCACGATGGTTAGCTATTACCCACTACATGCAGCGTACTAGTGGTTACTAAAATATTTTGATTACGGTTAATTAAATAACTAATCCGGTGCTAGTTAATTCTTCCCAAGTTTAGGGGTGGTCATTAGTAATCGATTCATTAATTACCCTGCGAAGATCGACGTAATGCAAACCGCGGAACCGACTGCTAACCCCGCCAACTCACCCACCTGCAACCAAAATTAAACCAAATCTCAATTAATTTTTTTGTAATTAATTATTTACAGCAGATTTAAGAAGCCAATTAATTAATCTTGTGAGTAAATGTATTATTATATTTACCGCTCTGGAGTCGGTGGCAACGGCGCAGGTGACGAACATCATGTTGAAGGTGACGACGATCTCGATGACGAGGGCGTGCCAGTGCGGCCCCGTCGGCGTCGTCGTCCCCAACACCTCGATCGGGTACAGCACCGCCCGCAGCACGAACGCCGCGCACATCGCCCCCGTGAACTGCGCCGCCCAGTAGAACGGCACCTGCAAACCACACACCACCACACCACAGTCACACAGCCGCGAATACGTATAAGCCACACGGCCGACGGCCGTAGTGTACTACGCTCAATAATATTATGCTTTGCTTAGAGGATCCGATCGAAAACGCCACACAACCAAAGCTATATATATTGCTAGCTCCACGATCGTGATGTGACCGCGAACGCAATGCACGCCGCTCCTCGCGACCGATCGATTATACGGCCGATCGAGACATGGGAAGAAAAGGGAGAAAAAAAATTAAAAGAGCGTACGAATCTTTGGAGTCTTCTTGAACTCCCCCTCTTGATCTAAATCTATCGCTGCAGAGAATGAATAATCGTATCTATCTATCTATCTATCTATCTCTGGGCATCACTCAGATCGATCAGGATTCAGACATGCAAGTATGCAATATGGCTGGCTGGCTAACTGTATGGGCAAGTTGGGTCAGATTGATCGACATGCTGCAAGTAGCTTAATTAGCTATAGATCCTTAGCTAGCCATGCTCGCGTGTGGCGAGAGACTGGCACGCAAGAGCGAGCACAGCATCTATCGCATCGCATCGGATCGAATAATTTCTTCTCGCCGAAAGGGCGGCCGGCGTGGTTTCACGGCAGATTGAGGGCACGTACGTGATTCAGAAGCGTGCACACGTGCCTTTCATAGCTAAAGCCCGGCAACTTTCTAAGCATATATAGGCATTATTATCTATGGTCGTGGTTTTGCAGAGGCTGGAAGTTATACTTTTTTTGAAATTTGGGTTCTATCATCATGGCTGATTCCAGAACTATTCCACTTTAATGCCATTGTTGGCACGGCCGATGGTTTGGTTAGCTCAAGTACGTACGTGAGATGTTGTATTTGTGACCTACAAGCAAGAACGGCTTCGCAATAATTGGGAATATGGTTGCTAGGGAGCAAGGCCGTATGTATGCATATAAATATATTAAGGATATCAATGATCAAAAATCACATGGTTAACAAGGGAACCATGCGAATGTCAAACCCCCTCTCCTTAGCTTAGGCTGGTACGTGGTGGTGGTTGGGGTTAGTGGCAACTCATTGAGGCTTTCATGGTAAGCCGAATTAATTATGAGCTAATTAATCATGGGAGAGGATCATGCATCAAGTTGCCTTATCCTTCTCATCTAAAAAGTACTACTACTACTGATTGTCTTATTCTCCTTTTTTTTTGTTCTAATTTTGTCCTTTTTTAATTACCTAGAGCCTTGGTTCGATCTGATGAATGATGGGCTTGTTCACATGTTGTGATTAGCCCAGCATGTTGCCAGTAATGCCAATTATTTTTTGTCAGCTTGCTAATTCCTCATGCATGCTACTGGCCTCATGCCAGACTAGGTAAGGACAAATATGCTGAGGCAGAAAACATATTTTATAGTTCGCAAAAAAAAAAGGAAAGTATATTTTATGGCATTATTATGAGCCAGTCCTATATACTCTTTTATCAACTTGTGTGTCCTAGCTACTTGATGAATAGGATGAACTATTTGGCTGGCTGCTTCGAATATGTTCAGTTGTCAGAAGGTTATGCATCGTCCATGTGTACAGTGGATGCGATTTATTTTTCAAGGAGTGGTAGATGCCAGGTAGGCTCCAAAGTTTTGCTTAATTAAGCCGTGACTAATTCCTGTGCACGTCCAGGAGTACATGCTGACAACTCCTATTCACGGGAAGTTTTTTTTTTCGAAAGATAATGGAAAATATATTTTTGTACAGTGATTTTTGAAAAAGAATTTTGGTACTAGTATATATTTGGAGATGAAAAGTAGCTGGTTAATATATGAGGTTGCATCGATGTCCAAACACAAGGAGTAAATTAAGGAGCTGAGTACTAACTAACAGTACTAGTTAGTAGAACTCAACCAATTAATGGAAACTCCTTTTTTCTTTTCTTTTTTTTTTTGAGGAAATAGAGTTTTCTTTTTCATCCGAAACAACCCATGAAAAAGGAAGAAAGAAAGCAAGAAAGAAAGGGAGAGGAGATATGGAAAATGGAAATAAAGTAAAGGAGATAGATAGCCAGCAGGCATGAGTGATCGATGTGTTCATGCATGTGCATGAATTAAGTTACCTGAATCCAGGGGAAATGCCGGAAGAAGGCGAAGGAGAGGGTGACGGCCGGGTTCATGTGGGCGCCGGAGATGTGGCCGGTGGCGTAGATCATGACGGTGACGATGAGGCCACCGACCACCGACTGCCCCAGCTGCGAGATGCGCTTCATGTCCTCGCCGTAGATGGACGCCGCCCCGCACGTCACGAACACAAGCAGGAACGTCGCCACCACCTCCGATATCACCTGCCGCACACATCATCGTACACCATATATATACTTTATCTTCTCCTTCTTCTTGTTGTTGTTCTTGATTTGCTAGCTAGCTAGCTCGATCCTGATTGATGATCATCGATCGATCGTTGCTAACTAGCTAGGATTATTGCTTGATTATATATATATACCTTCTTGAGGAGGTTAGGAGGGAAGATGTCGGCGAAGGATTTCTCGGGGTAGTAGACGCTGGGGACGGCGGAGACGCTCTGCACGGTGGAGAGGTCATGGATCTCGTTCGAGTAGTTCACCCGAGAGTTGGTCCTCGACGGCGCTGTCGTCGATGCCATGGCCCCCCTTTAGCTATCTATCTAGGACAACGAATCAACGGACCAGCGCGAGCGAGCGATCGAGAGTACTGTGAGCGCTAGCTGCCGATCGATCGATGGAAGAACGATCAAGCTGTGCTGCCTCTGCCTCTGCTTCTGCTTTGCTACTGCTGCTTGCCCTGGTCTCCTCTCCGCAGCGGGGGAGGAGGCGTATTTATAGCCGCGCCCCCGCGACGACCCGTGCAGTGCGCGCGCGCGGAGGGAGACGACACGCGACAGGTGGTAGGCGCCACCCAGTGTATGTGTGTGCAGTGGTGTAGCCAGTCCGCGCGCGCGCGAGGCTGGCCCCCACGCTCCACTGCGCATAGCTGCCATGCCCGCCTCGCGCGCGCGGTTGGGTTGGGGCCTTTGCGTTTGTGGCCGCGGGCGCGCGGGGCCGGGCGCTGTTTGTGGCGACCGAGTTGGGGATCAGGCGATCGAGGAGCCGCGCACACACGTACACGTACGGAGGTTACATGCGGAGGGCCGGGAAAATTTGTACTTTTACCGTGACGACCGCGAGGGTGGATCTGAACAAGTGGTTTTCATCGGTAGACGACCGGCCGGGCACGGGCTACAGTGGTTTCGTTCAGCGAGATATAAATGGAGCTGCTGTTAAATTTAACTGGAGTAGTCGTAGTGGTGTAGGAGTACGTGTGGGAGGTAGTAATAATTAGGCTAATTTGGAACCATGCCATTATAATTTTGTAAAGTTTGAGATATGCCATCGGTATCTCAATGACATGTAGGACCCACATAAATCAATAACATGTGAGTTAGGATGGCATATCTTAAACTTTACAAAATTATAATGGCATGGCTCCAATTTTCCTTAATTATTATGTAGGACGGCCTGTACAGTACGAGGGGTGTATGTACTATGTAGAGTACTACTTTACCCAACCCGAATAATCGTCTACACACGACAACATAGAAGTGTTGGAGAGTTGACGCTTTCTTTACCCTGGATTTTGTGAGTATGATGGTAATTGAACTTGTTTGGTTTGCTTGTTTTGGGCTCAGTTTGGAAAAGATTAATGAGCTGATTTTCTACTTGATTACAGGAATGAGTTAAACATTTTACTGAATAAACTTAATAGATAAATAACTCAAAGCAAGTTATCTAAGTTATACAGTATAAAAAAGTTTTTGAGAAAATGTATCTTTTAAAGGATGGAGCAACTAATCCGTTTCAATAATCTGAAAAGAACCCATCCTAATAGTGTTGGTATGTTTCTGTAAGTTGTCGATAGCGTGGGTTCGAAAGAGCACACTCATATGTCTAGCCTCGGCTCGAGAAAGCTCGTTATCAAGATAGTATGTGTGTCTTATGTCCAAAGAGATATTTCTTCAAAGAAAGCAACACACATTTATAATTGGGACTACCTATATACCCATTGGATTTGCAAAAAGAATTCCTCTATCAAATTTGACGATTTGCTGATCTTCACTAGTCCACCTCCATTGGCTTCACGTGCTCATCTTCCTCGGAACCACGCAACTTCCGTTGTCGCTGCCATCTTTTTGGTCCACCGCTCTCTCCCGCACCATGTGCCACTACTCGTCCGCCTCCCTATCGCCGGAGGCTATGCTGACAATGTCTTCTGGTTAGCCCCCAACACCATCGCCTTTCTCCCTCCATTTCTTCCAACCTTCCTCACTCATCTTCTTCATATAGTTGGTGCCTCGCACCGTTTTTCACATATGTTTTTGATGGCTCCTGCCGTTGGATCCGTCACCACTACCACAAAGCACCTAACTGCCGCTTTCTTATGCTTCTGCTACCTCCATTGCCTACCACCGTCTTTCATCCCTGCAGCTTTGGTTACGCCGGTGCCACCATGCCACCTTAGTCTTCTCATTACTGCTCACTGCCAAGCCTATGCTACCTTTCTCTAAACTGGGGAACTACCCCTTTTCTAGCTCTCCCTCCACCCCGAATCCTAATTAGCTAGTATGAGTTGTCGCCACCGTTATTGAAGTATATTGAGATCGTGAAGAATATTAAAAGGCTAGGAATCTACAAGATTTTGACTTTAGTTTTCAACTGAATGTAGGTTAATTAGAAAATCCGTTTATAATTGATCATATTAACAAACAGGTTTTTAGGGTTTGTTGTCCTAACACCTTAATTATAAACGACAGAGGCTGGAATATAACCATTATATTATTTCTGAAGATAAGTTGTCACTTGTACTGCAACAGAGGATTAATGCTTTCCTACTCACTCCTTGCTTTGTACATTTGTACGGCTGTCAAAGTACTTACATCGGAAATTTTTAAAAAAATTGACACCTTCATCGATCTCTACCTATTCCGCTTAACCCTGTGGTCGTTCCTGACCGTTGTTCGTCGATCCAACGGCAGGGGCATCATCTGACGCAATAGATTCTTCGTTCCGTACACGTTCGATGATTACCCAGCTTATTGTAATCCCAGCTGACCCTGTTGTTGGACGGCGATTGGATCCAGGACACAGGGGTTTGCTTATTGGCTAATTAATTAATACTACCATCATTTTGATTATACTTTTCAATTATGCTCTATCTCGTCTTCTTGGCATGTACGACTATGTGAGTACCAGTAATCAGTAGCAAGTTGGAATCGGACCAGACGAGAGCATCTTGTCACACATAAGAACTTCCAAGCAGATGCTCATGCTCTTGATCGATATATCCAAAGCCCTTATGATAGAAAAATATACAAACTTTCTGCACAAAAGAACCCAGAAATTAATTAATCTCTTGATCTGTACCTGTCCTACTAAACTAGAACAAGCTCTTTGTACAATTGTACCGTGTCGGCACGGGCATTGGTCAATGTTGAAATTAAACATGGATATATATCCGCGTGCACTTTGTCACTTTGTCAGATTTGTTCAAGTACAAAGCTGAAATTTTTTTTTGAAAGGAACAATCTTGGACGTGTATAGGAGCTCTGTCCTAGCGACAGAGACAAAAGAAAGGCAAGCCATTGTACTTTTTTCATACTGAAAGTCTGAAATAAACTAATATGAAATATGACAAATTCTACTGTTACCGAGTCTGAAGAGAGATAACAGAAATAAAAGCCATTGTAAGTCCATAGCTAGCAGCTCCATTGGCCTGCGCGAGAAAGCGTGGCGGACGTCATTGTCCCGTGATACGCTGGTAAAATGGCGAGGACAACAACGAGGAGGAGGACGAGGTGGAGGAGGACCAGCAAGTTGCATTTCTAGCTAGCCATCTAGGCTGGGGGAAATTTTTCTCGATCTTTTTGGATGGCAACCTCCAAAAAGAGAGATTTTTTGTTCTGGGTATTTTTACAGGTACAGGACTATGCTGCAACATCTAAACAAGTTGTGTAGGACGACCGTACATACGATGGCGGCGACGACGTCTACATGCACTCGCACGGAATTACCTAGCACTGCGCAGCAGTACATGCCCCTTGTCTGACGCCACCGACTGCAGCAGAAAAAATCAACGGCAAGGACTCTGAATAATGTTCAGATTCAACGATCTCGATCAATCGAGCAGAGCAATTAATCAATCTGTTGAGATGTAATAGCATCGCAGTAAATTAAATCGAAGCAATCAATCTGTCTTTCAGATGTGGCTTGAAAGGATGCAGCGTTTCTTGTTTCTGATCGTCAATATTCAGGTTAAGAAAATCTTGTTTCCGATCGTCCATATTCAGGTTCAGAAAAGGGACCGATCGATGGATCGCCCGCTCGCGTGCGTGGTTGCAGGATCAATCAAGATTAATCAGACTTGTCATGATCTGCGAGATTACGCGAGTAAGTAAAGCATTAGTACGGCTTTGCTCTAGCCACTCCACGTCGAGCTAATCTGCAGGCCAAAATTTTGCTCCCAAGATTGTCGCATTCAGGCGTAGTTAAACACGGTGGTGTCACCTTTGACAAACGCTGCATGTGCGAAAACCTCTCGTTCAGTTAACTTCACCAGCTTCCAAGCTTTGGCTTCGATCTTGGGCTAGCTTAGCATCGCCATTTTTTTCCTCTCCTCTCGTTCCGTAACAGCTGCAGGTACAAGCGAGTTTTATGGCATGCAGCGAGAGAAATTAATACTAATCAAAGAAGAAGATAGAGAGAGAGGTTCAGAGATTTAGACGACAATAAATACAGCAACACAGAGCGTGTCTTCAGAGTTTTGAGTAAAGATCAAAGTCTTCAACTCCTCATCTGTCAGCTTCAGCAGCTGAGACGACGACGCTGCTCACTGATCTGTGTGAAAGTCAAGAGTTGAATACTACTGGGAGTACTAGCTTGAATGCCATCTTCAATGGCGTGCCCTGCCGTATGGACCGCTGATCTGTTGAGTCAGCTCAAGAATTTTTGGATCTACTCCTCCTGCATCAGCACCAGTACACTCTGATACCCTGCATGAGATTGGCTATTGCAGTGACAGCTAGGAGGAGGAGGCATTGTGCAGTGTTTCATGCATGCATATGCACTCTAGTGCAGTGTGCTGCAATGTTACAATGATGCCAAATCCACTTGGTAGTACTTGGTAGCTAGTAGCTGGCCGGTGGGCAATTGCAAGCAGCTAGATGAGGGCATTAAGCAAGTAGGAGTATTAAGCAGTAAGCACCTAAGCTGCCTCTTGGCTTAATTGCTCTTGGCTTAATTGTGGTGTCCTCCATCGAGAGAGAGAGAGAGATCAGCAATGTGCTGCTGTTGCTGCTGCTACTGTGCTGCTACACTACTGTAGTGAATGGGATTGTTTGGAGATCATCATAGTCATTAAGCCTGCCTGATACCGGTGTCGGCCGGCCTACCAGCTGACGGACAGTGGCTTCTTGCTGAGGGAAGAAGAAGCCCTCTGGCTCTGGTCAAGGGAAGAATTAACTCCGGTAATAAATTGCCAATCGCTATAGCTTTAGCTAGCTAGCTAGAGACTTTTGTTGTCTGAACGCAGGATGGATCAATGTTGGATCCCTTGTTAACATGTTGAGACGTTGCTTTTGAGTGACAGATGGTAGATTTTAGGCTGAGTTCCGCATGCATGCACTCACCTTTTTCAACTTATACTCCCTTTGCTTCCGCACATACGTTTTCAAAATTGCTAAACATTATATTTTTTTAAAAAAATAGAAAAGTTGTTTTTTCAAAAAATGATATTAATCTTTTTTAAAAAAATTAGTTGATGCTTAAT